GAGCATTGGTTTCCTCCAACACTGAAGCAAGCAAGCCTCATGTTAACTTCAAGCTGCCTGGCTGCCGGCCGCCATCTTGGCTGGCAGTTAATTTGCATATCCCGCTGATTAACCAATGGGAAGGGTAGCGGACGTACACTAATTACCATGTTTCTCTTTTATTAGATAGGATATATATATATATTTATAGGTGAGAGAATATTTTTCCTCCTTATCGTGTTTCTTGCTAGAAACAGACTCTAAAAAGAAAGTACTACTAGTTGGTCTCTTGTTACCAACTACACAACATAAAGAAGTATAGTAGAATATAATGAATTCTTTTTTATGTCTTTATTGATTTTTAGTGAGAGAGGATAGTGGGATAAAAACATCAATGCCAGAGCAATTATCATTGATCAGCTGCCTCCTACACGCCCCCTGCTGGGGATTGAGCACACAACCCTGGGCATGTGCCCTCACTGGGAATTGAACCAGTGACCATAGAGCCACACTCGCTGGGCTATAATAACTTCTTAAGCTTCATTTCAGATAGCAGATAGTTATATGTCTATTTTATTTTAAAGCAGTATAGTTTCTAAATAATAAAACATTACTAACTTTGGTTTTGCTTACTGACTTTGATCATATTTGAAATCCCTGAAACTCCCCAGGTATCACTGTTTCTGGTGCTTACACTTTACAAATGTCAAATATTTTTGTTAATTGACTTTATCTCCTTGTTATATTTTAAGCATATTAGTCTTATTGTTACCTATTCATACAATTTTTTATTTCCATTTTCACAAAATTACTTATATCTATATTTATCTTACAGGTTTCAGCTCATTTATCACCCCTCATTGTGTCCCTGACTATAATAGCCAGTAAGGCTGGGACTATGGCTGTATTTACTCATTGTCTGATAGTTGGCACAAAGCCTGGCATACAATTTATAGTGTTTGAATTACCAGAGAACTGTATTTACCTAATTATCTTCTTCTTACATTTCAATTTATATTTAACTTTTAATGAAGAACTAGTAGCCCTGCGCACAAACTGTGCACCAGTAGCTTGCCAGTAGCTCGCTGCCACCCTCCAGTAGCTCCACCTACTGCCTTGCCCTCCTGTAGTTTCCCCCACCCCCTCCCTCCGCCCCCCCTCATAGCTTGCTGCCCTGCCCCCTCCTGTAGTTCTCCGCCGCCCCCTTGTAGCTCGCTGCCCCACCCTCCTGCTGATCCATGATCCGGTCTTACTCGGTCAGTCATTACACTTTAAGGTGTAATGACCATTTGCATATTACATATTTATTGTATAGGATAATTTCTGTCATCCTGAGCTTGATGCAATTTGAAAGGAAAGAGTTTGTTGCCTGCTATGCTAAACATGACCCCTGATTTTAAATAATTATGTCTCATAATTTTTCCTTCTTGAAACTGAAAAGATGTTCATATGAATATTGGTTCAATTACTATAAAACTAGTTTTCAGTGTATTATTTTATATTATCAAGCCACTGTGTAAGTAAATCTTTTAAACTTTGTTTTACATTTTAGAAAAGACAAAGACCTAGGATAGTTTAGAAACTGTAGACATCCTTTGCTTTTTCAAAGAATGAGTTTTTCCAAAGAGTGGTGAATTCTGAATAGTTAATGGTCACTGGACCATTGCTTTGATTGTTTATTGGTGATGAAAACAGAGCTTTACTTGCATGTGAGAAAATGACTGATTTCAGTAATAGCAGGTAGAGATATGATCTGTCAGATCTTATTTTCTCAAGTGTCAAAGAAACCAAGAAGAGTTATTCGACTTTTTGGTCAGATCACCAGGACTGTTGGTCAGATTCCTGTTAGTTATGAGAATGGATCCGTCAATGATCTCTAAAATTCAGTTATGATTTAATTTCCTTCTCTAATTTTAAACTGTGGCAACATTTTAATATACTTAAAATGTACCTTTATATATTCATTATATCTTAGAGAACATTTAAAATCTATTGATATAAAGGTGGCGTTGTTAGCTACCTATGGCATTTCTAAGTAGTTTCATCCATTTTTACACTACGATGATTAGGAATAGCAATATATCTGATACTATAATCGTTTATGTATAGTAATTTATAATGTAACCAATATGACCTTTCCATGTATATTATATATATGCATATATGATATATGTGAATATCCTATCTAATAAAGAAGGAATATGGTAATTGACCCTCATACTGTCACAAAGATGGCAGCGTCCACAAGCCAATAGGGAGGGTATATGCTACTTGACTGCCCCACCCTCAAAGATGGCGGTGCCCTGTCCCCTCAGCCCCGCCGGGGTGGCAGGTGTGCGGCAAGTCTGGGCCCATCCCCAGGGAGACCCGGCCCAGCTGTGTGCCTGCCTCC